ATATATATATATATATATATATATATATATATATATATATATATATATATATATATATATACACACTTACACATATATACAGTACAGACCAAAGGTTTGGACACACCTTCTCATTCATAGATGTTTCTTTATTTTCATGAGTATAAAAATTGTGGATTCCCACTGAGGCATCAAAACTATGAATTAATACATGTGGAATTATATACTTAGCCAAAAAGTGTAAAACAACTGAAAATATGTCTTATATTCTAGGTTCTTCAAAGTAGTCGCCTTTTGCTTTGTTTACTGCTTCGCTCACTCTTGGTATTCTCTTGATGAGCTTCCAGAGGCCGTCACCTGAAATGGTTTTCCAGCAGTCTTGAAGGAGTTCCCAGAGATGCTCAGCACTTCTTGGTCCTTTTGCCTTCACCCCAAACCATCTGGATTGAGTTCAAGTCCGGTGATTGTGGAGGCCAGGTCATCTGGCTCAGCACCCTATCACTCTCCTTCTTGGTCAAATAGCCCTTCCACAGCCTGGTGGTGTGTTTGGGGTCATTGTCCTGTTGAAATATAAATGATGGTCCAGCTAAACACAAACCGGATGGAATAGAATGCCGCTGCAGGATGCTGTGGTAGCCATGCTGGTTCAGTATGCCTTCAATTTTGAATAAATCCCCAACAGTATCATAAATCCCCACCATCAGACCTCCTCCTCCATGCTTCACGGTGGGAACCAGGCATGTGGAGTCCATCCGTTCACCTTTTCTGCGTCGCACAAAGACATGATAGTTGGAACCATAGATCTCAAATTTGTGGTCTAATGTCCATTCCTTGTGTTCTTCTCTTCTGCTTGTTGCCAGTCCTTAGCATAAAGGCTTGATTCAAACAGTCTTGTCTTAGCAGTTGTTCTAGAGATGTGTCTGCTGCTAGAACTCTGTGTGGCATTGATCTGCTCTCTAATCTGAGATGCTGCTAACCTGCGATTTCTGAGGCTGGTGACTCGGATGAACTTCTCCTCCGTAGCAGAGGGACTCTTGGTCTTCTTTTCCTGGGAGATCCTCATGTCAGCCAGTTTCTTTGTAGCGCTTGATGATTTTTGCGACTGCAATTTTGGACGCTTTCAAAGTTTTGCCAATTTTTCAGAATGACTGACCTTTATTTCTTAAAGTAATTATGTTTTTTCTTTACTTAGCTG